GATAGAGGCACTGCTTGAATTCTGCACAGATGCAGAGCAATCTCAGTCCCCCAGTCCCCTGACCCCAGGGGGCAGCCTGGGAATGAGGTTGGATGCTACGCAGAGCCTGATCGCGTGAGAAAAATCCAACAAATGAATAATTTGTGTCTGAAACAAGACCTTTTTAAGCACAGTGAACTGACCAAGCATGCAATACTGTTATTAATCTTGATCAAGTTGCTAAGTAAAAATCGCCCCCTCATTCGTTGTTGATGTCAATGCAATTGTTCATTTTTTCGACCCTTGCCCGTCTTTCCCACGTACAGCTCACGCACAGGCGGTGTGCGCACTCTGATTGCGTTTCATTATGGTCGTAAAACAAAAAGTGAGTCATTTGTATCCTGCCCCTCATTCCTTGAAGTTGATGTCAGTGCAGTTGTTAATTTTTTTCGACCCTTGCCCGTCTTTTCCAGCGCACAGCTCACGCACAGGCGGTGTGCGCACTCTGATTGCGTTTCATTACGGTCGTAACACAAATAGTGAGTCATTTGTATCTTGTCACGGTAGAGTGAACATCTTTGGTGGCAGCGAGGAATTTGAGTGGAATGTAATGGGGATTCACTGTCTGTTGCCGTTCCTCCGAAAGTTTTAAAGTGTTTACGAGCCTCCGTGAAGAATGATTTCTTAGGAGGCAACTGACGAGATTCAGAGTCGAAAGTGGCTTGTCTAAGAATCTTCACAAATGGCAGCAGTTATATATACTCACAGCTAATGGCTGTGTGAACAATGTCAATAATATCAAATTCAGAAGTTACATTCCTAGACGCGAGTTATAAATTAAACGTATCATAAAGAGACAGAGACCTTCATATACACGAACTTTTTTCTTGTCATCCACTTGGCGTAAATACGGAATTCGTAAAATAAGAAGCCCTTCGCCTGCTGAGAACGAATTCGTCACGCTCCACGTTTAATGACAAACATAGAGACTTTCAAAATACGCTTGAAGAGAAGAAGATACCTATATGAAGGTTTTGAGAACTGTAACTCCGGAGTCATTTTCTGCGGGAGGGAAAATATACTTAAAAAGAACAGACGCACACAGAAGAAAATTAATATTGTCTTTTGTGAAACAATCTCATCCAACTTTGCCAAACCTCAAGAACATACGGATGGGGAAATGACACCTTGAAACTAACCTTTGCAAAGTGATTCACTGCTCTAATTCACATGTCCTTCATTCAATGATTAAGATAACAGATTTACAATATTCGCGATTAATTCATTTGCTTCAGTAGATTTGCTTTTAATTTGTAAGTAATTTGCTTTCGTAGATTTACCACACGACTGATTTTACGTAAGAAACGTCCTTTCAATAGTAACGCTGTGTAACGCAATACACTTAACACAACAATAGGCCTTCTGCCACCATGACCGGTCTCAAACACTATAACTGAAAATACATAACACATGTGTACCGCTGGAGAGCGTTTAGTCAGAGCTGTTAAAGAAGGATCAAAGTTTATTAAATGTATATATCCTACGTAAATAACTAGACTATTACATAAAAGATATTGGACGAAAACACTAAACCAACAATCCAGTAATCAAGAATAAATTACAAA